TGTGTTCATCATGTGTTCTGATTTTGTTACTGTCATGCTTCTCATGTGTTTCATGCTCTGCTATAAGCCATACCAATCAAGGCCGGCTTGGCTTTAATAGTTCGTGTTTGATTTTTGAATATCGTTACTACTCGTACTAGCTGAAATATTCGAAATCAAATAGTCGACATTAATGACTCTCCTAAATAAATGCTGGTTTTTTTTTTTTTACCCAAAGTAAATGCTTGTCAGCACAAACATTTTGTAACGGTCAATTACTTATTTCACTACCAAATTTATCCAAAATGGTCCCCAATTTTATTAGAAGGAACAAAAAAAAAACATGTTGTGTTAAATTCTTGACCCAATTTGGACATATATGACTGTAGTAAGAGTTGGATTTTTCTTTGTTATGGTTTCTTGTTGTTGTTATTTCATAAGTATTGTTTGGATTATTATATTTATAGTTCTGTCTTCCAAGTGTTACTAATAAAGAATGTGAATGCTTTTGTGTCACCTGACGGCTGAAGTTACCGGAATTAATTGTGATTTAGGCTTTTATTACACAAAAGTATATCAATTTTTTTTTGCACTAATGATTGTTATTGTTGTTTTATTTGATAAAGGTTTGTAGGTTACCATTTTTTTTTTTTKYTAAATGGTAAATATCATAGTAAATGAAAAGATTAGGTTTACAAAAATGTTACTTAGAGATAGAGCAACCAAGACAAAAAAGATAAAACAAGGTTACAATATATGTTGGGATTGATTTACGAACAATGTTATCTAATCCAATAACGCATAAGATCACGCCAACGCTTTCTATGCCTTCTCGTGTTTATGATGTTCAGACTTCACGATCAATGGTCTTGAACAAGGTTTGAGGAGGGATGATGATGTTGTTATGAAGAACATTATTCCTTTGCCTCCAAATGTTGTAGATGACCGTTTGAGCCACCACTTTCCGGATGATATTTGGTCCCTGCCTCGACGAATGCTTTAGCCAAGAGAGCAACTCATTCCAGTTTGTGATAATGCGGTTATGTGGAGAGATTCTCATGAAGACTTGGTTCCAAATAAATGTAGAGTACGTACAATTCAACATGAGATGGTCTCTGTTTTCTGGCCGAGAAGAACAGAGACAGCAGTCATCATTTGTGATCACACCCTAAGCAAGTAGTCTCTGTCTTGTCGGTAGCCGATCCAAGTTTGTGACCCACATGTTGAACGCATGTCTCGGAACAGCTCCCTTGAACCAAACCCGATCGTACCAATGTTTCTCCTCCTCCCTTGTTCTAACAACTCCCCATGTCTTAGAAGAAGAAAAACCTTTGCAATCTAATCCATCAACAGACCATATTCGTTTGTCCTCCACCACATTCAGGGAAGGCAAGACAATAGTAGTGAGATGAAGATGCAGTGACAGAGCCTCCTCTGATCTTGCACTTCGAAGTTTCCAGCCATTAGTATCACTTGCTTGAGCCACAGTAGCTGTTAACGGGATACCTGTTTCAGATGGTCCATTCTGCCCCATATGG